ACACTCGTCTCCAAGTACAAGCTGTGGAAAGAGTTGTCCATACTGGCGAATATGATGGAGGAGTTGTGTGATGAGAAGTTCTTGAAGGAGGAGGCCGAGGACCGGAGGAAAAAGAAACCTGCTAGTTCCTCCTCCCATGCTAGTGTTCCATTGCAAAGCCAAAAATTGGCGAGGCTGACTAGTTTCTGGGATCGGCAAGCACCGACAAACTTCTTATGTCACGAGGCCGAGAAGGAGGAAATAATGAAGCGGATCAAGAAGAAATCGGAGTGGATCCATAGGACTTCGATTTTGGGCCAGCAAGGAACCGGCAAAACGTTCCTGTTGATGAAGATGAAACAAACCAGCCTTCACAAATTTTCTGATTTGCAGAGAGAGATGGAATAGAAGACTAGAAAATATTAACATTGAACAAAAACTGTCAAGAACAAGCTTAATAGGAACCTGTTTTTTTAACTGCACACAGACGTGCAAAAAACTGACTTAAAAAACTGACTTGTTCCACTTCCTAAAAAATAGCTAACAAAGTAACTATCTAACAAATCAAACTTGACGGAAAAAACAGAAAAGACTAAAACAAAGAAGAAAAACAACAGCAGTACTGGGACAGCTCCAACAAACTCCTCCTTGGATCAGTTGCTGCTGCAAACTCCAATTTTCTCCCTTAACAGCTCAAATCTTTCAACTTGAAGTGGCTTTGTGAACATGTCTGCAAGCTGATCTTCTGATCTACAATAAACCAACTTAACTTCACCACTTTGTTGCACTTCACGCAGAAAGAAGAATTTGATCTTAAAATGCTTGGCTTTGCTATGGAAAACTGGATTCTGTGATATTGTTAAAGCAGCCTGATTGTCCACATAAACTTCAATGCAATCACAAGAACTCAACCACAGATCCTTCATTATCTTCTTCAGCCACAAAACTTGATTTGCAGCTGCAGTAGCTGCTATAAACTCAGCCTCTGCAGTGGACTGAGCTACAATCTCCTGCTTTTTGGAACACCAGGAGAAACAAGCAGAACCAAGAGTGAAGCAGTACCCAGATGTACTCTTCATGTCATCTACTGAGCCAGCCCAGTCACTATCAGAAAAACCCTGCAACTTAAACTTCTGGCCTTTCCTAAACTTCACACCAAAGAACAATGTTCCTTTGATGTATCTCAAGACCCTTTTTGCAGCGACCAAATGTAACTGACTAGGACTACTCATGAACCTGGATAAAACACTCACAGCAAATAAAATATCTGGTCTAGTTGCTGTGAGATACATGAGACATCCAATTAAGCTTCTATACATTGAAGCATCTACCGCTTCTGTTCCATCATTCTTTTGTAGCTTCTCCTTAGCAGTCATAGGAGTGCTGACACTTCTACAATCTTCCATCTGAAACTTCTTCAAAATTTCCTTCATGTATTTCTTTTGGCAGATGAAAATCTCATGTGAAGTTTGTTTGATTTCCAGACCTAGGAAATAGGCCATCTTTCCCAAGTCTGACATCTCAAAAGCTGCAAATAGACCTTGCTTCACCCTCTCTATCAGTTCCACATCATTCCCTCTCACCAACAAATCATCTACATAGAGTGACAGAATTACAACACTGTGATTCACCTTCTTGACATAAAGAGTGAACTCACTCAAGCTTCTTACAAAGCCAAAATCCTGCAAATATCTGTCTATCTTTCCATACCAAGCTCTTGGAGCCTGCTTTAGTCCATATAGGGCTTTCCTCAATCTGTATACCTTCTCTTCTTGCCCTTTGACACTGAAGCCTTCAGGTTGTTCAACAAAAATCTCCTATTCGAGCTCTCCATTCAGAAATGCAGACTTGACATCTAGCTGAAATATAGGCCACCCCTTCTCTGCTGCAACAGCTAATAGTAGCCTGATTGTATCAAGTCTTGTAACAGGCGCAAAAGTTTCAGAATAATCAACTCCCCATATCTGAGCATAGCCTTTCACAACTAGTCTAGCTTTGTGTTTATTGACAGAACCATCAAGATTAAGTTTTGTTCTGAACACCCACTTAACCCCAATCACATTCTTGTCAGATGGTCTGTCAACAAGCTCCCATGTGTGGTTTTTCTGAATCATTGTCAACTCCTCCTGCATTGCTGCAATCCACTTCTGATCCTCCTTAGCTTCCACAAAATTAGCTGGTTCAAGCACTGCCACATTGCTTCTTTCATAAACTTCAGCAAGTGCCCTTGTGCCTCTTACTGGCATATCATCCATAGTATCTTCCAATCCATTCACAACTTCATCAACCTGTACAGTTGTTGCAGGTTGTTGTTCTGCAGATTTCTTCTGTTCTGCATTCTTTTCTTCCATCCAATTCCACTCATCTTCCTCTAGAAAAACAACATCTCTACTTACAGTCACCTTCCCTGTCATAGGCTGAAAAATCCTGTAAGCCTTTGAATGTAGACTGTATCCAATGAAGACTCCAGGCTCAGCTTTTTGATCCAGCTTGTCCCTCTTGACCTGAGGAACATGCGTATAACACAAACACCCAAAAACTTTTAAATTCTTTACATAAGGTTTAACACCATACCAGGCTTCAAAAGGTGTTGACCTCTCTAAGGCCTTTGTGGGCAATCTGTTCAACAAGAATATTGCAGTACTAGCTGCCTCAGCCCAGAACTTCTTAGGTAACATCTTCTCCTGCATCATACATCTGGCCATTTCCATAATGCTTCTGTTTTTCCTCTCACTGACCCCATTCTGTTGAGGTGAATAGGGGGCAGTGAACTGCTGCATAATGCCTGCTTCCTCACAATTTAACTTAAACTTGTGAGCAGTATACTCAGAACCATTATCAGACCTGAGCATTTTGATTTTCTTCCCACTCTAATTCTCAACTAAGGCTTTGAACTTCACAAACACATCAGCAACTTCAGACTTGGTTTGCAAAAAGTAAATCCAGCTCATCCTAGTGATGTCATCTGTGAAAGTAATGAAATACCTGCTACCATTGAGAGATGACTTTGACATAGGTCCACATAAGTCTGTGTGGACTAATTGCAGCTTCTCACATGCTCTCCAGCCCCCTCCTTTGAAAGGAAATCTGGCTTGCTTGCCAAGAAGACAAGTTCTGCACTGTGGAAATTCCTTCTCCAAACTTGGCAAATCATCTGCCAAGCTATTCCTCTGCATAAACAACATGTTCTTCCAGTGAACATGTCCAAGCCTTTTATGCCATAGCTCTGCATTTTCTTCTTTGCACTTCAAAGCCAATTGTTGCATTTCATGTGGCTTGAACATGAAGCACTTGTCCTTCATTGGCATTCTCAACACTTCCTTGCTATTTGCATTATTAATAAGGCATTCCTTTCCTTCAAACTTCACCTTATAGCCCCTCTCAACTAATTGACCAACACTCAATAGATTCTGGTCAATTTTTGGCACAAAGAGAACATCTCTGATCAGCTTCTCCTCCTGATTTCCTTCAATAGCCACTGTACCCTTCCCTTGCACTTCGATATACTGTCCATTGCCAATTCTGACTTTGGACCTGACTGACCTATCTAGACTCCTAAACAGCTTCAAATTGCCAGACATATGATTGGTACAGCCGCTATCCACCAGCCATGCATCATTCTCAACAGGAGAACCAGAATAGGAAGCCACAAACAAGCATTCTTCCTCAGTTTCATTCACTGCTATCTGTGCTTCTCCTGCTTGCTGGTGATTGTTCTCTTTGCATATTGCTTCCATATGACCCATCTTGTGACATCTTCTGCACTTAGCATCAGGCCTCCTCCAGCATCTAAAGGACTGATGAGTAGTTCCACCACAGTGTTGACAAGGCTTCTTGTTCTTCTTCCATTTGCCAGACCCACTAGAACTTCCTTCTTTCGCTGCAAACTTGGAGTCACCTGCATTTCCTTTTGACTGATTCCATTTCTTCCCTTTGCCTCCATCATTGAACTTCAATTTAGCTTGCAGTGCACCCTCTACAGGCTCTTCTCTTCTCATCAGTCTTCTTTGCTCCTGTGCCTGCAGGGCACTTAACAATTCTGCAAGCTTTATGTCAGCTAAATCTCTTGTATTTTCCAGAGAAGCTATGGTTGCTTCAAACTTCTCTGGAAGAGACACCAGGATCTTCTGAACCAGCCTTTCATCCTTCAAGTCAGTCCCTAAAACTCTGATCTTTTCAGCTATCCCAATCAGCCTATCAGAGTATTCCTTCACTGACTCTGAATCCTTCATCTGCTGTCTCTCAAACTCCCTTAAGAGATTCAGCACCTTCATGCTTCTTATCTTCTCATCTCCCTCGTATTCATCCTTCAAGCAATCCCATATTGCCTTTGCAGAATCACATCTCATGATCCTTGTGAAAATAAGGGGTGAGACAGCAGCATACAGGCAAGACTTTGCCTTGGCCTTTCTTGTGGTTCTCTCTTTATGGAACTTTATCTGATTCAAGGTCGAATTGTTTGGAAGTGGAGCAATTTCATAATCATTCTCCACAGCCTCCCACAAATCATGAACCTCCAAGAATGCTGTCATCTTGACAGCCCAAACTTGATAATTTTCCCCAGTAAAGACTGGAGCAGCCATTGCAGAGAATCCACTTGATCCTGCCTCCATCAGCTTTGTCTTTGCAGGCTCGCTTACCCTCACTTCACAGTCCCTTAAGATCCCACAGTAGCTCTGATACCAATTGTTGATGAAGATGAAACAAACCAGCCTTCACAAATTTTCTGATTTCGTAGAGAGAGATGATATAGAAGACTAGAAAATATTAACATTGAACAAAAACTGTCAAGAACAAGCTTAATAGGAACCTGTTTTTTTAACTGCACATAGACGTGCAAAAAACTGACTTCAAAAACTGACTTGTTCCACTTCCTAAAAAATAGCTAACAAAGTAACTGTCTAACAAATCAAACTTGACGGAAAAAATAGTAAAGACTAAAACAAAGAAGAAAAACAACGGCAGCACTGGGACAGCTCCAACAGTACCTCGCAAGATGGGTCTACAGCCAAGGGAAGTACATGGACTTTGAGTTGCGTGCTTGGGTCCATGTCTCGGCCAGCATGGACACGCGAAAGTTCCTGTTCGAGATATTGAAGCAAATAGAGAAGTTGGCGAGGGAAATGAAGGACATGGGTATCCAGGAGATAAGGCAAATGTTGTTCCAGAAATTGGCCAAGACGAAGAGATTCCTCATAGTGTTGGATGACGTGCAGCCGTCTGACGAGCCACTCTTGGAAGAGTTAGCGATGATCATCCCAATCTTTTCGCAGGGCCACATGATTCATACGACTCGGGACGAAAGGATAGCCACGTACATGAATACATCCGCAGAAAAGCGGATCAGGCTAAAAAAATTGGGCATTGAAGAAAGCCGGAAGATGCTCGCTTGGAAGTTGCATAGAGTACCCGATGATCAGAGACTCTCAAATGAGGAGAAGGATATCCTAAACATGTGTCGTGGCTTGCCGCTCCATATATCCTTGCTCGGGGGGTTTATGTCAAATGCTGGAGAGCACGAACGTGCAATGTTGGCTGAAGAGTGTTCTGAGTTAGATATACTACAATTGAGTTGCCATAAATTGCCAGTACATTTAAAACCATGCTTCATCTACATGGCTTTATTCCCCGTAGCATTCCCCATTCCAGCAAGAAGGATAGTGAGGCTGTGGTTGGCTGAGGGCCTATTGGATTCGCATTGTTGCGACAGAGAAAGGAAAACAACACCCGAGGAAGTGGGAGAGACTTATATCCTGGAGCTCGCAGATAGGAATGTGATTGATGTGGTGAGCTGGAGGGCGGATGGAACCCCCAAAGCTTGCCAAATGCTCACCTCTCTATACGACATGATCTACCCGATGGCGATAAGCATGGGGTTCCTTCACATACATGACACTAGCAAGTTGAAAGACAGGAATGACTGCGACCCAACCAGCCGGCAACAACAGCTGTTGTACGCACTGCGAGAGAGAACCTATATTCGGTGGCTTGCGGAGCACACGAACATGGTCATAGACGACTACGGTGGCAGCTACCTCGATTTGAAACTCGGCCACGTCCGCTCGTTTTTGTCGTTCTACTCGAGGAAAGGGATGCTCACCAAAGACATCAGCACGATTCTTAGGAAGATGACGTTTGAGACTGACTATAGCTTGCTAAGGGTGCTTGATTTGGAGTTTGTGTATAAGCCATCCTTGCAAGGCGTGCTCCACAAGCTGGTGCTCCTGAGGTACCTAGGATTGAGAAACACGCTGTTGGCTTCGCTCCCAAGCGCCGTTGCAGATCTGGACCATCTCGAGACTCTTGACATAAAGCACACCAATATCATTTCGCTGCCGAGTTCCTTATGGAAGGCGAGGAACTTGAGGCACCTGCATCTTCACTGGTTCCACATCGACTTGAAGAATATCCTCAAGGCTTGTCGCAACAATGTCAATGCCTTGACTCAACTCCAAACCTTAAGCGGGCTGGTTATCGGTGAGGTCAAGGAGAACATGATGAGGGACCACGTGCACAACTTGACCACGCTCACCACGCTCAAGCTTTTCTTGCAACGCTCGGGTGGGGACACCTCAGGTGCTGCAGGAAAAGCAGTAGCCGATTGGATTAGCTCCAGGCTTACCAATCTCCAGTCCTTGACCTTTGGGCTAATCCAAGAAGCCAGGCCTGCTAAAGAAGCCGAGCCCGCGACATCGCAGATAGTCCTGTTACCGAAACTGTCGTTGGCCGAAAAACATCACGACCTGTTGGAGCTCTACTTGCTGGGCCAAGTCAAAACACCCATCTGGAGAGAGCTGTTGCCGGGCTCACTCAGGGTATTGACTCTGTCGGGTTCGAAGGTGGAAATAGACATGATGCCCGAGTTGGGTGGTCTCCTGACGAACCTGAGGACATTTAGGCTGTTGGCCGAATCTTTCCTCGGCACTTGTCTAAGGTTCACCAAAGATGGGTTTCCGAGCCTCACGATTTTGAAGATTTGGAAGCTGCCTCGTCTTGAGAAGGTGATTCTTGAGCAAGGAGCAATGCTACATCTCAAAGAACTCGAGTTTAGGCACCTCGAGAGGTTGGAAACTGTTGAAGGGATCAACAAGTGCAAGGAATTGGAGAACGTAAGTGTCATATCCCGAAGCGATGCTCTTGTTGACCAACTCAAGGGAGTAATAGGAGAGAAGACGAATCTGCATGTTGAAAAAAGGACACCAAGAGGCCCCGCCGCAATTTACAGGACGACAGCCGACAGGTATGGGACAATATTAAATCTCAAAAATGTTCTTTACGTATGATGATGAAATTGTTTTATAGAGTCGATAATTTCAATAATTACCTACTAGTTATTAAAAGGAATGATAAAAATCAAGGACAAAAAAATAAGAGATGATGTATTCACCATTGAAAAGGACACCAAGAGGCCCGAATTGCACATGACGACAATAGGAATGGAACATGTTCTTTACACATGGTGATAAAAATGTTTTTATAGACTTAATAATTTCTTGTTAGTGATTAAAAACAACGATTATGATTTTTTATCAGATAAGAATCACGTTGGCTCCCGATTATGTTCGAATCCCGGGTGCCGCAGGGTGACTTAACCGGTGCACGTGTGTGGTGGCTAGCACGTGTCGCCCCCAGGGTTTACCTCCCGGCTGTCGGCCGTGCGGGGGTTCCCTGGGTTATCAAAAAAAAAAAAGAAAAAAAAAAGAATCACGTTGGCTCATTTCACCCGACCAAGACAATACATATTAAGATACTATGAAGGCTACAACGAGTCCAACTAAATAACGCAAAATCACGCGGACAATATCGTTTAGCTTTTGTGTAACCTAATGCTAGATTCCAAAGTAACCTTTGGAACCACCCTTACTCCCCATAGCCTACGCACGCCGAGTGAGCCCGTCACCTAGATCACACACAAGACGCTGAAGAAGAGATATTGAGATTATTTTACACTAGTTAAGACCTCTCCTTTACTTACTATATCATCCTTCAAAAAATGAAGCTTCTCACATAGGAACAAATCTACAAGGTTTGCTTTCTCTTCACCGTAACAAGTACAATTAGGAAATTTGTGCGCGTGAAGCTTACTTATTTAGTGCTTTCTTGTTTTCTACAGTCCTCACGATGACAATGTCGCGACCCTTCTTTTTCCGTCGTGGGAAAAAGGAACGAGTTTAGGTGGTATTGCCTAAAAAGGCGGACCGATGGACAATCAATCTAGGTGCGAACTCTCCCCAAGTTCATACCCCGCGCAACGTCGGATTTCGTTTTGAATTCTCGATAACTTAAGTACTTCTAGGAGTCGCCACTAGCCTATTGGGGTCGCTAGAAACCAATCAAGACGTGGGAGTGTCGCCTCGATTCCTACGCAACCAGAGGTTCTAGAGCCGGGGACTTGTTTACACTAACATTTCTATTAGCGCCCTTTCGGTACCTAACTTGAGAGTGCATTATCTAAGTGGTCACGCGATCTTGATCACCAATTATAATCCTATGATATCAAAGCCGCTAAGTGTCCTTGCAAATGTTTTTGTGGGATTGTTTTCTTCAATGTCTAGATTAATACTAACCTAATTTAGGAAAGAAATTAACACTCAAATTATCGAAAAGTAGAGCAGTAAGTAAACATCCAAGAAATTGAAATGACTTGAAAGTAAACGAGGAAAGAGAAAACCCGATACAAGTTGGGCAAATAATATTACATGGCCTCGTTATCATGCCCCGGGACAGGACCCCCATGAGCGAAATGAGAATTTAAATGTGCATGAAATTACTCTAGCTACACAAAAACTATTCTAAGTAATTTTAGTCTATGCAGAATGGATTTTTTTTTGTAGAAACGGCGATAAAATACCAAAATAGCATCAAATTACGGAAATGACTTTATAAAATTAGGAAAATCTCATAAATGTCATTTTTTGCATAATTTGATACTATCCAACATTTTTCATTTTTTTTTTGAAATTTTCCGATTTTTTTTATTTTCGTTTTTTCGTTTTTTATTAAAAAAATAATAATTCCCTAAATCGGCCTACGCTCGGTTTATGTGAACATGAAACAACTCAGAATATGAATATTACGAGAACCGGGCTCAAATCAACCGTTTCAAGATCGAAGCTTGGTTTGGGCATTTCTTCGAGCATTTGGTGTGCATTAAACTGCCCCAAATGGCTTCTTCGAGCCATATTCGTGACTTTCAATCTCACTCCGTGTGTAATATCAAGTGGAACCAAAGTATCAAGGTTATATTATCACATGCAAAGAACGAGATTAGCTAGAAATCACAGCCTAAAACGCACAAGAACCAAGTTGGAATCGGCCTCCAATATGTTCGGGCTGCTTTTGCAAATCTGGGTTTAAACCCAGGTCAAGCAAACCTGTTGCATGCCCAGGTTTAAGCCCCGACACTCATCACGTGCAAGATCTATGGGAAACATCACTTCATCCGAAAGAATATACGTAACATTTGCTTTTAAATGAAACAAACATCATGGAGAATGATCAAGTGAACACGTCGAAACAACCCCTCCAAGGAGCATACACGCATGGTTCATAATGACTAGCCATGAATCAATGTGGGTTAGCTTGGCTTTTTACTCAAGTTGCAAGCCATCTCATGGTTCACACGGGGCTTCAAAGACCAAACCAAGTGGATCTCAGCATAATTTGTACACCCATATAACATTCATCAGGCTCATGAAGGTAGAAAACGCATGCAAGTCAAACATATAGGGCTCATGAAGGGGCTCCAACACTTAAAATTCCAGCCTCAGAAATCAGTTCTCTGGGCTAGTTTTCTCTTGATTTTTTCATGAGTAAAACATGTTCAAAATTGAACAAAAATACATGTAGGATACTCACCTTGCTTCCTAGTTTCTCTTTGAAGTATCCCTTGGCTGAGGGAACCAGAAAATTGTCTTCCAAGGGCGCGGAGAATTAGGCTTCTTCAAACTGGAAAATGAGATCTGCAAAGAAAGAACTGACAACGAAGGTTTTTGTTGGTCTCCAAAATCAGAATCAACGACCTCTTTTTATGACTAATTTGACACCAACCCCAAATATATGTATTCTAGTTTAATTACCAAGTCAAGGGTATCCTCATATGTTGCTCATGTCTCTCAAAAACTCTCACTTTCCCTCACCAGTAACCGTCTGACTCCAACACAATTTCTGGGTTTCTCTCTTGACCCGAGAATGGGCTGCTTTTCGAGGGGATTTTGGGTGGCTTCCCAACATCCATTTGGGACGTGCGACCTACGGTTGGAAAGATCTTTGAATGTAGTTCCACTCTCTAGTTGAAGGTTTTGGCTAATTTTGGCTCGAAGTTCATGAAAATCTCCCTTTTCTCTCCAAAAGCCAATCTGGAACTTTTTTGGGTTGATTTTCTGTTTGAGTTGCGTCCGAGGGTGAGTTTTTGGAACGACCGTCCCCTCTCATCCTCTTGTCTCATTGTTGACACCTATTTTTAATTTGCCCAAAATTAATTACACAAAATTTAGGAATTAATTTTCTTTAATTCCTAAAACAAAAAAATATTTCTATTTAAATGCATTGCATATAGAAATTAGGTACATTTGCACTAATAGAGTCTATTATAGAGTTAACAAAAAAAAAAAATTTCGAGTCGGGCCGGGTCGGAGCTGGGCCGACCCGGCCCATTTCTTTTTCCCTTTCCCCCCGGGCCCTGACCCTTTTCCTTTTCTTTTTTCCCCCACGCGGGCCCGGCCCGCTTTCCTTTTCTTTTCTTCTTTTCCCCCCCTCGCAGCTGGGCCTGGCCCGGCCCAGCCGTTCTCTTTCCTTCTCCCCCGTCGCTCTCGCTGCCCTGTTCGCCTCTGCTCACCGACGGCAGCGTGACGCACGGCGGCGCCGCTCCTTGGCATCCCTATCCGGCCAGAGCAGGGCCGAAGAGGCACGCCGACGGGACTTGCATTAATTGCCAGTCCCGTCCTCCCCGTTTTCCCGGCCTCCCTTATCCCCTCCGCCCTTTCTTCTCCCCGTTCCTCTCTGCGCCTCACTGAACTGACCCCCCTGCTCTGCACCGGCCTAAATGGCCGCGAAAGTCGCACGCCAGAGTAGGCCGGTGCAGGCCGTCGTCACGCCGACGCAGAGGAGCAGAGGGGCACCATCGTCGCCGGCTATAAATAGCCAGAGAGAGAGAGAGAGGCCGGTCGGCCATTTTTGAGAGAGAAACCGAGAGAGAAAAACAGAGAGAGAATCAGAGAAAAAGAGAGAGAAAGAGAGGAGAGTTGGCTTTTACAGGTTCCCAGCAGCGTCGCCGTCGCCCCCCGATCAGCTGGAAACCCCCCAGACGCGCCGTCGACGGTGAGCTTTCCCCCGGTTCGAACTGCCCCTGTTCTGCTCTGTTTTTCTGCTCGGTTTGGCCGGGACCCCCGCCGGCCGTTTCGCGCGAGTCCCGGCCCATACCGCCGTCCCCCGCCGTCCGTGTGTCGTCACCGAAGGTAGGTTGGATCACTTGAATCCTCCGGTTTGCCGGAACAGGTAGGAATCTCCTGTTTTTGGTCGTGCACACCATCTGCTCGACAAAATTTCCCAATAAAGCCGGTTTTAATTTGGTCGCCGGCCGGCGAGCCGACGGTCGGACGGTGACCCATGTGGGTGGAGTGGCTTGGTATTGGTCCCATGGGCCGAATTGGTGGCGGCGCTGGTCTGGGTCGACCGGCGAGAGGCCGATTTTCGGCTTCACCGGCGGCTGCTCACACGGGTTCGGCCTGATCTGGTTCAGCCGACCCGACCCGGGTCAACGACCGGGTCGGTCCGACCGACCTGGTTCAGCTGATCCGACCCGGGTCAACGCCTCGGGTCAGATCCGTTGACCCGGATCGGTTCCGACCCGGTTCGTATCCGCCCATTTTTTATTTTTTATTTTTATTTTTTTTTATTTTAAAAAAATTTTTTAAATTTTTTTATTATTAATTTTATTAAAAAAATTTCGAATTTATTTATTTTTTATTTTATTTTCGAAAAAAAATTTTAATTTTTTTTATGTGATATATTTGTTGTTTTAATTTTTTTGTGGTATTATTATGTAAGTTGTTGTCTTGTTTAAATTAGACAAGCTTGAGGTTGCGCGGTAGTATTTTGCATGTTAGTTTTTATTATTGTTATATTATTATACGTGTTTTAGTACAATTGCATGAGTTGTTGTATTTTTGAATGTCATCTGACTTAGTTAAGGTTAGAACCTTAGGCTGCATGAATTGTTGTGTTCCTGATTGCTGATCGTTTCTGATTATTGTTGACACCTAAATTTTGGCGTATCATTTAG